TCTCTTCATATCTTGCAATTTGTGGCTCCAGCACTTCCCATGCTGGAGGCAGTATCTTTGAACTTAATAGCCTGGGATGGATTTTTTCTTCCGTGAATTTGTTACATGGGGTGATAACAATCAGATAAATGAGGAAATCGCATAAATAAGGGCAAGTAGTAGGCTGCAAGAGGGACGGGCAGCGGCAGAAAACGCTGACTCATGGAAACGGGAGTTGGCAACGCGAGGGCGAGGAGCTGGTGGGGAAGTGCCACGAAGTCAACGGAAGGAGAGAGCCGGTGGTGTCTGAAACCGGGAACCCGGTGCAAAGTGAAGGAAGCAGAACAAGGGCTGCGGGACACAGGCTGGGGGGCCCCGGGGGGGGCCACAGGAGTGGCAGAATAACCATGACTGCATCCCAGGCACGCCTCTTGCTTCTCCCATACCTTTAACAAAAATATCCCTTTTACCCCCGCTGGGATGATGCTCGCCGCGGCGCGAGGCCTGCTGTCCGTGCCGGCAGCGGATGGGTTTTGCTCTCGCTCACTGACCGAACGGGAGGTGATGCTATTTTTGTCTTGCTTTTGACATGCAGCGAGGGCACTGCAGAAGAGCTGCCTATGGAAAATAACTCTGTTCTGTGAGGGAGCCGATTCCCTTGAAACTGGATGGAAGAGGAGAAAATGGATCAGCAATGACAGGTTTCATTTCCAAGCGGCAAGGATTGAGAAGTTAAGGAAACTAATCACCAAAGTCAGCTGGAACGAACAGCTAAAGGGCTTTGACGTGGTGGAGGCTTGGTGACAATGATGTCAAATGAAGGAGAAGTGGTGGGTTTAATACATCCAAGGTAGCAGGAGAGCTGGTGTCGTTTCGCCTAGGAAATAGGTCTGCAAAGGGGGGGCTGGTTTTTGGAGCCGGCTTTTGCGAAGCAAACCCGGCAGCTGGACCCATATCTGCTGGAGATGGGCAAGTCACCACAGGGACATCTTGCAACTGTGTATGTTTTATACATCCTGCAATTGTATGTGGTTTAAAATCAGTCATGAGACCGCCTGTTTCCAAAGGCCACCTGAGACCTCCCGCTCGTGGGGCCACCTGGTAAATTCTTCCTCCCCGTCTGCTTCTCCGCAGGGATTTTCAAACAAGGCTGGGCTTAGTCTTTGGCAGGTTCCCCAGGGCTGGCGCGGGGGAAGCCCTCCTGGCCGGGCCGTGCCGGGCCGTGCTGCGAGGCACCGGCAGCCCCAGCCGCATTGCGGAGCAGCCGCCACAGGCAGTGTCTGTCGTGCTCGCCGTCGTTTGATTTACTGTCACCCAAATGGCTTCCTGCAAGTTTTCCGCAGGACTTTAAAGACTGCACTGGATTCTGGGTGCTCCAGGGGGATTTTGACTGCGTGACCCATTTAGCAGCCTGGCTGGGCACCTCTCCCTGCAAAAACTGCTGCAGCTCTCCATTGTTTTTTGAAGTTTTCAGGTGAAAAAGCAGCAGCTTTCTTGCAGCTGCCCTGCTGAGGCTTTTCTTTGTTTGCTCGTTCTCAAAGCACCCTGAAGAAACTGTTATTTTGGGCTCTACCTGCCAAAAGAGGCGAGAGATGATGACGATTTCCCTGTAACGAGAGGCTTCAAAGCTGTGTGCCTGCTGCACAGGGGAGCTGCGGTCTGCTCTCCTCCCTCAGCGTCCCTGCTGCTCTTCTCCTACCTTGCTCTGGTTTTAGGAAAATTTCCCCCATGGCTAAAGAACATGGCACTTGTGTTAATTATTTAGTGGCCGAGGATGCTCCTGATCAGGGGGACGTGACTTCCCGGAGACCCTCCCTGCCACCCCGCGGTGTCAGCTCTGCCTCAGCTCCTGCAGACTCCAGCTCGCTGAAAACCTCCCCGACTGAGGGATGCTTTTGGATTTCGGCTCCTGCTGGCACTTCTGCTTGTCTTTATCAAGAAGAGTTGCTTTAGGGGCAGCCTCTTTGCCTCTTCTCCCTAATGATTTCCTCAGCTCCCTTCAAAAAGCACCGTCCATGGGGCCGTGAGTGTGGGCTGCAGCAGGGCTGCACCGCGCAGCACAGGAACCTTGAGGAACAGCGGAGCGGTTAATAAATTAAAAGCTATTTCATTATAGGAAATGAATGTTTAATGAGCGTGGGATGACGTCTAGACAGTCCTTCGGTTCCAGGCTCTATGCGGTCTTGGAGGAGGGTTCAGCCGACGCAGCCGGCGCCGGCTCAGTGCCGGGGGGAAGGTTTGGCAAAGCTTTCCTGGGCAGTGAGGTCCCTGCGCGGGACAGATGTCCTGGCACGGCAGGGATCTCCTGCCTCCACGTCTTTTCGCTGCAGATGCCCCTTGTGCCTCTCTGGGCAAAGCCCCAAGGAGCTGCAGTCGCAGCGGGACGTGCTGGCAGCGGGGAGGCTTGGCTGCGTGCCTGGCCCCAGCCTGGAGCACACAGCCACGCTCTCCCGCTCCATGGCACCTCGCCCGCAGGTCCTGCAACACCCAGGGAACTGGAAAGGACATCCCAGGCTTTCCCACGTCACGGGCTCTGGAGTCGTGGCAAGGAACCTGGGCTGAACTGGCGACAGCCCCGTAGGATGAGGTTGAGTGGTTGTGAGATTTTGCATCCCGCCCCGATGAAGATGTTTTATAGCTACAGAAAAGGGGTTTCAAATACAGAAATTTGGATATAAGTCCCCCAAAGATCCCCTGCCATGCTGGAAGTGCCCATTGTCCCCTGCAGACACCCGGCGCTGACAATGTCAGAAGTCCTAGCTGCCTGATGGGGAGACGCAGAAGCACATCAGCTCCCCCGCAAAAGCTCTCCAGCGCCTATCCCAAGCGCAGAAGTCGCTGGCTGAGTTTGCTCAGCCTGTCTCAGTGCAAGCAAGCACAGACAAGAAGCTCAAGGCCTCTCGGCAGCGGGCAAGAAGATGGAAATAATGCATTTTGACTTCATCCCAGGGGCTGCCTGCTTGGCTCTGGGGATGGTGGCAGTGAACCAGCCCAAGGCGCTGCCATGCACGGCACGGGAGATGCTGGTAGGACCCCCCCCCCATGCCATGCACCCACCCTGCTCTGTCCCGCAGCATCCCCTGCATGGGTGCCCAGCCCAAGGAAGTGCTTTGCTGTTCCTGGAGCCAGCAATAGGGAAATATTCTTGGGGTCACCTCACTGTCCCTGTAAAGCAGCAGGGATGGGACCAATGCCACAGGATCTGGGTCTCTGGGCCCAGAGCACTGCACCGGGCAGGGTGCTTGGATCCCAGGGGACCTTCTTGGCTCCCCCAGGCCGCTGAGTTTGGGGAAGTCCTTGGTTCCTGGGGCTGTCCTGACCACCCCTGGGAGCAGCCCTGAGTCACTGGAGAGCGGGAGAGGGCACCCAGGTGCCTGGGGACTGCTGTGGTGCGATGGCCCCGGGGACTGCAGCAGTAACTGCGCCTTTGTGCCTAGGGGTGGAAAAAAGAAGAATAGAGGAAAATAAATATATTTTTGCTGTCTCACAAGTGGAAAGCAGTACAATCTCTTCCCATGGGGCATTTCACTCTGGCTTTCTCAAACCCTGGGATTTCTGCAGGGTGGACACCTGCAAACCACTCTGCCCAAGGCCTGTCAACTTGTGGCACCTGCCATCCCCTCCTGGTGGCTCAGAAGGCTGGTGGCACCTGGGGACACTGCGTGAGGCTGGTAGGGAGGGCTGGGTGTTCTCTTTTGAGGTCTGTTTTTGTTTGTTTTTCAATCTCTTTCAGTTGTGTTTTCCCTCCCTGCTCTGCCAAGGCGTTTCCATACAGGCATGAGAGGTTGGGAGAGCCATGGCATGGGCACGGCAGCCATGCCAGAGGGTTCAATGGGGTGGACTTTGTGGCAATGGTCTCCTGCCCTTTTTCTCCAATGGCCATGATTGAGAAGCCAAAATACAGTATTGGTCAAAAATGTAGTGAGTTTTAGCCAGTCTCAGACCTCCTAGGGCTTAGTGGCACCCAAGTGCTGTGAGCTGCCCGTCTGACTTCTTGCTACTACACAAGCTTGGGCAGCATTTCTTTGGCAGCTGAGGGGTGTTTCACTCATAGCCTTGGCTTGCAAACTGCAGAAGCAGAGCTGTGCGCCGGGAAGGTCGCAGCCATTCAGCAGCACCAGCAAAGACCGGCTGGGCACTGGGATCGGGTCCTGCAAAACCTGCCTGGCTGCTGGGAAAACATCTGGCCAGGTCTTCTCAAGGTGCGTGGCTTGCTGCTGCCATATGGCAGCGGTGAAGCAATAGCGTGGCTCTGAGCTTTGCTAACGCACAAAAATACTTTCTGGGAGCCTGCTTTGGCAGCGAGCCTGCGGCGAGCTGCTCTGAGCAGGAAGCAGTAACCACAAAGCTATATATACAGCTCCCGGCAGAGTTGCTCTGCTTTTGATGTGACAAAATTAAGGTGGTATTTTGCAAAGAAATCCAGCATGTCACCTTCTTCCAGAGCCGAGGCTGACACAGAGAGGGCAGAGCCCGGGGCCCGGCTCCTGGGTGGCTCCTGGGCCAAACCAGGGGAGCTGGCACAGGGAGATGGGTGAGGTGCTCTCGTCGCCTCTTAAAGCCATGCGGTGTTGGAGGTCACCGGGTGCCTGAGCCGTGGGGAGCAGCGCACGTGTCCGGGGTGTCACGGCTTATGCTCTGCCTGCCTGGCTCTTGCTGGCTCTTGAGCTGGGTTAGATGGTACCATGGCAAAATGCAAGTGGCTGGGGGTGACACGGGGGTCTGGGCAAGTTGAAAGCATCCTTAAAGCTATGGAGATGGTAGCTGTCACCCACAGGTGATGTAGCCCTGTCCCGAAGGCCACTCGTCCCCCAAAGGACATGCAGCCCCTCGCCTCCTCCTGAAATCAGCCTCTGCATTCCACCCTGCCCTTTCGCTGCCTGCACCCCGACCCTGCCAGCCTCCCTGCGCAGCCAGGCCGGGCTCGCTGCGGGGCCAAGGCGGGCGTGCAGCTGCGGTCCCTCTCCCCCTCGCCCTGGGCAGGGGACACCCTGCCTTGCCTCTCCCGTGCTGTTTTGCAGAGCGGGACTGACTACGGCTTCCTCGTGAGCCAGAACACGAAGCTCCTGAGCGCGCTGGAGGACCTGCGGCACCGCTGCTCCAGCCTGGCCGAGGAGAACAGCTTGCTGGTGAGCAGAGGATGCGGCCCCATCCTGCGCCCTGGCCAGGTGCTGGGCCGGCTGCCGGCACGGGATGCTCTGTGGGGAGGGAGTCCCTGCCGTCTTCTGCCAACTCCAAGAGATGCTGGCACATGGGATCGGTGGGGCATGGCCAGTGGGGAAAGGGGGGCCTGGGTGCTTTGGGTCCCCTGGGTGCCTTCGCACTGCACCCATCGTTGGCTCGAGCAGGACCCCTTCCTCTCAATGCAGAGCCAAGCCAGGACCCTCTGCTACCCTCTCTGCCATCTTTGGTGCTATTTGCCTGCTGGAAACCACAAGAGGCTTTAACGCAGCCGCCCTCGAGAGCAGGCAGAGAGCAAGGCAGCAGCGAGCTGATGGCAGGGGAGGGGGAAGTCGCTCTTGTTTCCTCTTTAATTGGAAAAGCAGAAACACTGATTCACTCGGCCTGGGCTTTGGGTGACAGTGCAGCACTGCCCCCTGCTCCCACGGGAGCTCGGCACCCGCCTCCTCCCCAGCTGCACCCCCAGCACCCAAAGCCAAGCCAGGCTGCCATAGCCTGGGCCACCCATTCTGCCCTGCTTCCCCATCCCTGGCTCCCCAGGCCCACGGTGGGCAGCCAGGACCCTCGGGAAATACAAAGAGGGGACGTTCCCCTCCTGCATCCTCCCTGGAGAGCATCAGCCCCTCGCGCAGCCCCTGGAGAGCATCAGCCCCTTGCGCGGCCCCACGGTGCAGGGATGCGGCCACACCCGGGCCCCTGAAAATTTGATTGCTCAGCATTTCAGATTTATATCACCACATTCAAAACGCGTATTTTAGATAAGTTTCTTACACTAAAAGCGTAAATCCAGTATGACCTGCACGCTGGGGGGTTACCCCTTATCAGTCATCTGGATTTTAGCAAAGCACTATCGTGTAAGCTCTCATCAAATCTTACTCTCAAAAATCAGCCTCGGTCTTCCGGCTGAAGAAAAGCAGTGAAAGCAGCAAGCACCCGTGGTGGGATCTCACAGGGGTAGGGAGGAAAATAATTGGAAGGATCAGCTGATCTGACATTTTTGCTGATGTGAAAAGACAGCACAACACATCTGGGTACGACCTTGAGAGAACGAGCCATCAGCAAGCCGCAGCTTATCGAAACGGACAGATAACAAATAAAAGGGGATTAAGAGCGAACAGAATCAATAGGAAGGAGAAGGAAATTTGCTTTGCAAACATCACAGAGTCCTTTGCTGCTTTCTCCTCGTTCCCCCCAACTCATGCTTCGGCGTCATGAGAAAAAGGACAACGGCGCAGCTTGCAGTGGCAGCACAGCACAAATCCGCAGCGATGTGTTGAGTCCTGTAACCCCAGGGAAATAAACTGGGAAGACTTTGGAAGAGAAAGCCCAAAGGGTGGGCGGCCGGGCCAGACCGATGCTGGAGATGCACCATGTCCCAGCTGGCAAAGGCAGAGCCTGCAACAAGCGCGTTGCAGATGGAGAGGGATCTCGGAGGACGGCCTGGGGTGGGGTAAGGGGCATCTCAGGAGGACCAAGAGGTCACATTAACAAAAATACTGGGAAAAACACAGGTTTCAGTGACTGGAGAGATGATGAGCAGAGGTCGGTGTTTAACAGTTGGGACAGTGATAGGAGAACAGGCCAGGCCCTGGCTGGGAAAAGCCCTGTGGGTCAGGCAGGGCTGGGGACCTTGGCTCCCCTTAACACCCCCAGCGCGCACAGGGGCTTCACCTCGAACCTCTCCTTCTGTTATCTAGCGCAGGAGCTGCTTCCCCCAGACGGAGGAGAAGGTGAAGCATCTGAAGAGGAAGAACGCGGAGCTGGCGGTGATCGCCAAGCGCCTGGAGGAGAGAGCCCGGAAACTCCAGGAGGCAAACCTCAAAGTGGTGAGTGCGGGGCTTGCCGCGGCTGGGCACGGCTGGGACGGGCAGCTGAGCTAGGAGAGCACCTCGTCGCCGGGACTTCTCGCTTGCTGCGTCTATTGAGCTAGAAAGGCCTTTTCTTTCCCCTTTTCTTAAACCTACAGCAAACACGTTTTGCACATCAGCAGCAGGGCAAGAATCACGAAACCCAGCCATGGCCAGCTTCTTCTGCTCGCGTGTGGGGAGCTGGCTTTGAGCAATTTCCTCCTGCTTGGTTTCTTGCTGTCAATGTGCCGACCTACCTTAAGATGTTAGTTTAAGGTAATTAGCTCAGCTTTCCCTGGGCAAGTCGTGAAAATAATTCATCTGACTTCACCGAAAAGAAACAGGAAGTATTTGAATAAGAAGAGGAGTGCGGTAAAGCAAAACAGGAAGGGGTGAGGGACTCTGCTCGGCCCCATCCACACCTCGCTTGCATTGCTGCGCAAGCCGCGTGGTTTTTTTGCTTTCTCCAACCCAACAGCAGCTTGTTGCAAACGCTGTAGCATCTGACATGGGGCAGGAGTGGCGGGAGATGGCCGTGGGATGTGGGATGTTGGGCACAAGCGCTTGCGTGAGCTTGTGGAGTAAGGGAAAATCTTTCTTCCCTTGGAAGGAAACTGGGGATTGTGATGGGGAATTCAAGCCCTGTAGGACAGAGAGGAGGAAGTGAAAGATTTGCTGAAGAGAAGGTAGGGGGTTTTCCTGGCACTGCCTGTCCTCGCTGTCCCCAGGCACCGTGCCGCCCGTCTGTCACGGGGTTTTGGTACTTGCAGGGCAACCGTTGCTGCCAGATGGACTTGACAGATACTACGTTAAGAGAAATCATTTGATATACATCCAACAGCTCTGCAGACCCTCCAGCAACTATACAAATACTGTTTTATTTTTTTCCCCCGAGTGAAACTTTGGGGTGGTGACGGTTTAAGACCTGTGTGAGCCTTGGGAGAACTGACTTGCTGGGCTCCTGGGCTGGCCCAGGTCTCCCAAGAGCAGAAAGCCCTTGGATGGCTGAGGCTCGTGGAGGGTGGGCTGGAGGCAGGACCAAGCGGCTGCCCGCCCAGAGAAGGGGCCCTGAGGAGCTGGGGTTGATCTGGCAGCGGTTGCCTTCAGTGACTGGCACACAGGGCCCGGCAAGCAGCTTCTGCACGTGGGCGAGATGCTCGGGAAGACCTGGGGAGGAAACGTTTGCACAGAGGGTGCCACGTTCCTGCTCAGGCAAGGGGAGAGAGTCCCCCTCGCCAAATTGTCAGGCTTTGTGCAGACAAAAATAGCTGGACAGGGAGAGGCAGGGTTTGACAAACTGGGCTCCCTCTTGCCTCCCCCTTTGCCTGGATCTTCCACTCATCTGCGCTGAAGCCCTCTTTCCCGCTGCCTAGAAACCCACAGAAACTCCATTTCTCCTCCTTCATCCTTGCTCCCATGCTTATCTCTCCTGCCATCCTCCCCCCCTCCTCTCTGCTGCCTTTTCCTCCTTCTGCCCTTGTGGTGTTTTTCTCTCCTCTCTCCACCCGCTGTTGCCCTGCCTGCAGCCCCCTGTGCTGACTGCACCCATCGGCCTCAGCCGCTGAGCACCTTCTCCTTCCCACCTCTCTGATCCACTTCTCCATCCAACCCTTCCTCCGTCCTCCCACTTTTTTGTACATCCGTCATGCTCCTCTGTCTGCTTGTCTGTCCTTTGCGGCTAGGCTGCGTCTCTGGGCAGCGCTCCCTGCCCGACAGCTGTTGGGGTGATGGTTAACGACCACCAACACATGTGGCTTTCTTCCTTGCTGCCCTCTCCGGTGTAGGTAACTGCTCCGGTGCCTCTGAAGGGCTCCAGCCTGGAGCTGTGTAAAAAAGCATTTGCCCGCCAGCGTGCCAAGGACCTGACAGAGCAGGCCAGCGCTCTCCTGGCGAAAGACAAGCAGATCGAAGCTCTGCAGCAGGAGTGCCGGGAGCTGCAGGCTAAACTCATCGCAGGGAAGGTGAGACACTTTCTGGGCCATCACTTGGTGGCTGGGGACAAGCAGTACAGCAACAGTGATGGGAATGGGGCTCCAGGCAGCGGTGTGAGGGCAATTAGTCCCAAGACTGTAAACAGAGGGCATTTGATGTGCGATTTGGATGGAGGTGAGCGTGGCAGAGCCGGTGTCCAGGCCCCTCCAGAACAGTGTGTTGGGGGACACCCCAGTTGTCCCACTGTGAATTCATGGGTCTGAGCTGCCATTTCCAGCAGCAACTAAAACTCCCCCCCTGGAAAACCCCGGGGAGCCACAAACACAAGATGACTTTTCACAGTGCTGAGCTTCAAGCAAGATGTAGAAGCAGGACCTCCCTTTAAAGTCTTTCTTTAAAAAGTAAACCAGCTAAGCATGTTCCCAAGAACCAGCCTAAATCCTGTGTCTTGAGCTGCAGCTTTCTGAGTGCTCACAGCCACCACAAGACTGGCGATAACTAGGCGCATCCTTGTACGCTATGACTAAGGGTACAAATCATTAGTCAGGGGTGGGCGTTCATGAAACCATCTACAATGCTGATGCCTGCGCCGGGGCTGGTGACCTACGTTCCCCTCCGCACCAGCACAGAACTTGCCGACGTAAATGACGGGATAGAAGGGATAATTCAGCTCATCCCAAGACAGATGTCTAAAACTGGTTGGATGCGTTGCTCCCTCGAAGCACTGCTTCTCTGCGATGACTCCGAAAGGATCCTCTGCAAACAGCTGAAGCTAGGTGAAATGATTCCCACTCAAGGTGACTAAAGCAACCTGCTCTGGGCATATCAGCTACGTCTTTTGTTCCCGAGCTGGATGTTTTCAGTTTAGGTCAGTTCATAAGCTCTCCTGAGCAGCTCCGTAACGCTAGGGCTCGCACGGGATCCCCCGTTTCGCTAATGCAGATGTGGTCAAGTGCAACCCTACATTCCTGCACCCCGCTGAGCTGAGTGAATACCTACATTTCTACCTACCCTACTTACACGATATTTAGGTGGCAAATACTTCCTCACTGAAAGCAGCTTTATTTCTGTCCCTGACTTCCCCGTATGTTCATTTAAACTATGGGTTTGTAGGTAGATTCTCAGTCTTTCC